TCACTGAATTTTTTTCCTTCCCTTTCCTCTATTTTCTTTCCAAAAAGGGAAGAAAAATGCAGCTTCCTCCATGTCAATATATCAGTAGAGATTCACATAATCTACCCACAGGCCATAAATTCCTTAAGGGTGAGTTGTCTTATTCATATCTAAAGCCTTTGCATCTAATTGAGCAACTGGACATCGCAGACAATAATGTTAGCTGAACTGAATCTTACAAGCTGTAATAAAAAAAAGCAATAATTTCTCGGCAACAAAATAGAATGAGTTCTAAAAATTAAACAGAAATGTAGACTGCTAAGGAGAGAAGTGATAAATCAGGGTGAAATTCATACTCCTTCAATCAATCATTTTTTCAGATCTAGAAAGAACTTTTAAATTAAGAGATTAACTAAAACCCTACAAAGATTGCATTCTGCTGCTTAATATCAGAGATAAAACTAGAACCAGATTCTGCATCCCATGCTCTGGTTTGGTCACTTAAAAATAATCACCAACATGCTAATTACTTAAAAGGCTAGTGTTTAAACTGAGAAACTACATTGGAAAAATAATTCAGCTTAAGACTTTAAAAGAGAAAAGAAGAATATATTAGAAAGATTATAGGCTTCTAATCCTGGCTCTTACAATTACTAGTTGACCAATTGGAAAATCTCCTTAACCTCATTGAATATCTGTTTCTTCATTTGTTAAATGGGGGAAAATAAGGCTTGCTATTAGAAGTAAATGAAATAACGCCTGATAGTTATCATCTTCCTTTATAAAATATGCAAATGGTCCCCAAGAATATGAATCAGATAATATCTTTCAAAAATGTTATGAGAGCTTTAATAAAAAGGCCTATTAAACATACCAATAATGTATAAATTCTGACATTTCTGATTATTTGTAATATTGATATGAGGCATTCACATATTAGAAACAAGATGATGAAAATGTGGGAGACTAATGAATATTTGTAGATACATTTGCAAAATATATATTTTCAACTGCTAGGAGACCCTTTTCCATCTTACTATCTATTATATAACATTACATACACACATAATATACATAAAGTACATAATGTAATAATATATACCATATGATATTATGTATATAACAGATATGTTATAATCCTAATAAACAGCCCAACAGAGTAGGTGTTACCATTCCCATTATATAGTTGAGAAAACGGAGCTTTAGAAAAATTTAATAACTTATTTGGAATTACATGATCTCCTTGAGCAATCTTATCCATTTCTTTTTGTATATGCATAACCTCACCATAACAGGGTCCAAAAAGTTCAAATGCATAAACTGAGAGATTAATAAGAGATTTCAGTTAGCCTGTATATGTCTGTCTCCATCAGTTAAACACATACACATATAAACCACAAAAGATAATAAAACTTACACCACATACAGCTAAATGCACACTAAACTGACAATGAATCATTATTGGTTTAACCAAACCACGCGCCCTGCTGAGGACACTAATTTTAGCTCCCCATTTGAAAACAAAAAAGTTAAGGGAAGATAGACGCCGACTGTCAATCACATGACATCTTAATTCATATTATTCTGGGATGTATAATCACAGGCTTTTATTATAATATCTCTAAGCTGATGCTTCCCAAATCTCTATTTTCAGCTCAGACTCAGCCTGAGTTTCACATTCACATATCTCTGATAGTTTTCTTGGTGTGTTCCTCGTCTCAGTTAAATTTACCAATATTCACCCACAAATCTGGCATCATAGTTGAAGGCCCCTTTCTTCCTGGCAATTGACTAACAAGGTCACCCCATTTTCCCTTTTATATTTCTTTGAATCCAACCCCTACTCTACATCAGCTAGTTCAGGCCCTAAAAATCTCTGAGAAGACAACTTAATAGAATGCTTATGGTATGTATCCCTCACCCCCAAATCTACACTGCCATCAGTTATCCAAAACACACACCTGACTATGTCAGTCTTTTTCATAAAATCCTCTGAACAATCTCCAACAGATGAAGTCTGATTTTTATAGCAGGGCAAACTGAATCCTTAAGAGGTATCTATGTATTCTATCTGTAGTACAGAATCAAGAATAAATACCAGATATTAGTAATAAATCATACTGGTATTTTATTTACCAATTTCCTCTGCCTAAGCACATCATCTTTAACTAGATACCTAATACTTATGTTTCCCAACTCAGCTGCTCCTGAAACCTTTTCTACAACTCCCTTTTTCTATGCCCTTACAGCATCTTTTGCACAATGCTATCAAAATTTATCACATCATCTCTACCTCCCCCTACCCCCACCAAAACTGTAAGGTTTTTAATAGGAAATGCCCATAACCTCTTTTCATCAGTCTTTCCATTTAGTATGGTCTATCGCATACATAATAGGCACTCAGTAAATGTTTTTTAACCAAATGTTTAAACTGTACTGATAAGTGATGAACCAGGATCTGAATCTAACTCCAATGCTTACCTTCTTTCCACTATGCCACTCTGACTCCTGCTTTTTGCTTTGCTAAAAAACCCCAAATTGAAATAAACTAAATGTGTACTATCAAAAATATCTTCCAGGCCTGGCATGGTGGCTCACGCCTGTAACCCTAGCTCTCTGGGAGGCCAAGGCAGGAGGATCGCTCAAGGTCAGAAGTTCAAAACCAGCCTGAGCAAGAGCGAGACTCCATCTCTACTAAAAATATAAAATTAATTGCCCAACTAAAAATATAGAGAAAAAATTAGCTGGGCATAGTAGTGCATGCCTGTAGTCACAGCTACTCAGGAGGCTGAGGCAGGAGGATCACTTGAGCCCAGGAGTTTGAGGTTGCTGTGAGCTAAGCTGACACCATGGCACTCTAGCCCAAGCAACAGAGTGAGACTCTGTCTCAAAAAAAAAAAAAAAAAAATCTTCCAGATTTTTCCTTTGTACTATGAGATTAAACTTGGGCTTTATATTTTATGCTCTGAAATTAGAGATTCTTCAAACAATATACATTATGTCTTACATTACTGAAAAAATTTTTAAAAAGCAGTAACTCAAGAAAAATTCAAATGTCCACAAAAAAATAAGAAAATCATGCAGTCAATTAAACTATGGAGAAAATAAATGATTTAGTATTATCAAATATATTATCAGAAAAATAAGAAAACTAAACTTCCAATAAACTAAAAGAGCTGATGTTAAAAATATTACTTACAAAATTACATTTTGATGTCACACAGGTTATTACTTAGAACAGAATAAAATATGCAACCCTTAACCAAAGTGTTAAACAGCTTCAGAAAGACATCGAGTAAATATCCCAAATATTGTGATGTAAACTTCAGTGATTTAAAGCAATAAGTGCATTCAAAGACAATGAAAACCAATGAGTTAATGAACTCAAAATGATTTAGGATTATAACCCAAACAGTATCTGTAATTTAAAAAAAATCCCAAATTGCCAAAAAGATTAGAAATTGGATACAAGAATTAAAGTACACAATAAATAAAAATGTAAAATTCTTTATCTTAGTTTGGATATTGAAAAATAATGCAATCCTAAAGCAAACTGCCTATAAATTACAAGTCAGATGTCATCAAACATCCAAGTATGAAAACAATGTACCAGAAATTAAGCAATCATTAAAAATTAATTCTACTTTGCGTATCTATACAGGATGCTATTTCTGCCTCTTCCCCCAACTTTTACCACAAATTAAAAAAGAAAAACACGTACACAAAAACAGCCTCTTTTATGATTTGAAATACAATGGTTTTTTTCTTGATAGTTCTTCAATATTGTTTTAGCTCACGCTATTAGGGAACATTTCCTTTCGTAATATTTGTGCGTGCTTTTAAATAATCACCATTACTTACATCTTTATCACAATCGGGTTCTTTGCTTGTAATTAAAGAAAGCTACTTCCTGGGCTAAAATTTGTACGGAATTAAAACTGTATTCTTACAGTAATAGCTAATACTCAAATAGTGCTTTGCTCTTTTCCTACACTAAATATTTTATGTATAAATTCATTCTTAATCCTTAAAATATTTCTAGGTGCTATTTATGGACTGTAAACTGAGGCACTAGGCCTCGCAAATACTGTCAAAGGTAGATTAACCCCAGGCAGCCTAATTTTGTACAACGCAAAGCCCTTTCCATGAGTATGTTTGCATCTTAGCGCTTCATTTTGCTTCTGCAGACCTATTTTTCTCACCACTCATAATACATACACTAATCACGGAATACAAGGTAAAACATTCTGCCTCAGCTAACATTTTGTTTCATTTCAACTTGATTAAAATAATCTTTTTAAAAAACTACTAAATTGTTGTCTATTTTCTAATTTACAAGACTGTCCTTCTAAAAAGTACTGGAATCTCCCCATGTCACAGTTCCTCCACACAGCCAATGAGATGGCACTTCATTACACCTGCTCCAAAAACGTTGTTCAAAAGGATTTCACACTGAGAATTTCTGTTTCTCACTCTTCTCTTTCTTCACATAAAGCTACTGTTTGGAATTTTAAATATCCGCTTCCCTTGTTCTAGAAACACTTTTCTTCAATTACAGCCTCTCTCTTTCTCACTAACTCTATTAAAATGTGACTATTTTCACTGAAAGTCCAGTGTCACCAGGGCTGGACTCGCTAATCCGCGCTGATTTGCTGCGTGTTTTTCTGCGTGTGCGCCAGAATCTTCCAGAAGGTTTTGGTCACACAAGTACGTCCGCCATGTTGATTTTCCTCTCCCGTGGAGATCTACTCTGTCCACCTATGAAACTTGAGACGCCGGAGTCCCGCGGAGCCAGGGCAAGGGCTGACGGCCTCGGCCTCTAAAAAGTTTTCGGTTTCCAAGAGGAATGCGCTCTAGGGGCTCTTAAGTGCTGAGGTGCCGAGCGCTTCCCACTTGAGTGGCGCGCCCTGCGGATCCAACTCCTCTGAGCTGCAGAGCGTCCGGAAACCGAGGCCCTCTGGACAAGCTGCTAAACACGGGCTGAAGGGCCGGCATGGGGAGAATTCGAAACCGGTACTTACCAGTGCGAGGCGTTGCCTGAATTTTCCTCTGCGGGTTTCAGTAAGACCCTCTGGAGGTTATTGGACATTTTAGAGGGGTGGGAGGGGACAGCTCATCCAGTAAAGGGGGCAGTGTGGGGCCGAGGCTCTCAGAGGGGCGAGAACCAGAGTGAGAGAATGTTGTGCTGGTGGTGCTGCGCTGCAACTCTGAGGAGTTCGACGCTGAACGGAGGGCGCCGGCAGGCTCTCGAGAGGGCGTATCCCAGGCTTCGGAGGGAGGGCAGCCACCGAGAAACCGGAAGACTCCGGGCGAGTGACAGCAGCCTCCCGACTCTGGGCTCTGAGAGAATTGACCCAAGTCTCCACCCACTAATGCCTACGACAGCGCTCCACAGCCCGGCCGAGAGGCCGCGGGGGGCGGGGCACCGATGGCGCCGCCCCTAGCAGGGCCGTGTCAGCTGTGAAGACTGCTCCAGCCTAGCTCTGCGGACCCCGCCCACCGAAGCCACAAACCCGAGCAATAGCTTCGGCCCGTGGCTTCCGCGCTCGTCATGTCCGGCTGCCAAGCTAACTGGCTCGCTAAAGCCCCGCCCTTATGATACAATCCAATCGCAAGCGAAGTTTGCTATCTTTTCTTCCGGATCAAGGAACGAATCGCAAAAGAAAATTTTCCGGACGCCTACGCAAAATAAAATGTTTCCGGGGTCAATCATAGATTTTTCTGCCTTTTTACTTGCCACTGGTGTAAGTTTTCCTCTCTCGCTAGTGCTTTAAAAGCCATTAGCAGGATTTTTTTGGAGTCGTCATACACTCCTGGCATGAAGAAATTTTAGATGCCAGCCTGTGGCCAGCGATGTTATTTGTTACTACTTCTCTGAAGGTTTTTCGTTTTTTCCCTCTTTCCTGATGCTTTGCTTCTGCACTTGCTTACCCTTTTCCTCCATCCCATGTTCATGCCTCAGTCAGAACATGTTAATTCGTTGATTCTCTAAAGGTTTTGTCCCCTATATAAACTTATTTTATCACTTATCTTTATTTGGCTCCCCTCGAGAAAAGCTTTTCAGAAGTCTCTTGATTTCTGCAGTTAAGTCAACATCTGAGAAAAGGATTCAGTCTCTTATTAAAGGGTAGAGATTCCAGTTCAGCTGCAGCTAGATGGTGAGTGTGGGAGGAGTGGTTTCGAAGATCCAGTTTTATCTGGAGTAGGCAGTTCCTGTGTAAAGTGGTTCACACTGCTCAAATTTATGAGACTGACGTAAGGTAGTCAATTTAAAAGTTTATTATGGCCTTTTAAAAATGCCCATTACTCATTTCCATAACTCCTTAATGAGATGAGACTGATTTTAAAACTTTTACGTCCTGATACCTTAACAGAAAGTGATACTTTCTAACTACTGTTCACTCTGTTAACTAAAGGTTAACTTCAGCAATATAGAATCCGGTATCTATAACTGGCATTTCTCTTCCAAATATTTCCCCTTCCCAAAGAAGGGGTTGGGACAGTTTAGCACAGACAGTTTAGCACTGTCTGTGTTTTGGTGATCCTCCTACCTGTGAAAGCAAAATGACTTGAAAGAGTCGCCCACTTTTGCTTATTCCATTTTCTTACTTGCCATTCATTTCTTATCTTTTGCAGTCTGGCTTCTCATATCCATTATCACTTCCTATAAATAAGACTCATTGTCATAGATTTGGTTTCCTAGGAAGCAGACTCTTAGGATGGACTTAGGACTTAGGACATCCATCCTAAGATGTTTATTAAAGGGACGTTTATTACAGGACATTTATTGGAGATAAGTATCTGTGAACGGGAAGGAAAGGAAGCAACATTAGGCAGAGGGAAAAGTTAGACTGTGATGTCCAGTCTTTACCAGCCTTTAGCCTGCCCCAAATTAAAACTGAGATGAACTTTAAAAGTTTTCTCCAGTGGGGTGAGAGGGCTGGTCCTTTATGCTCCATGATAATAAGCTACTGGATGCAGGCTGTGCCAAGGATAGGTTTGTAGGCAAGAGGATCTCTTTAGCCAAAGCAATTATTCAGGAAGGCCAATAGCTGAGGCATGTCTGCTGATAGCACTTCCAGCCGCTGGTGAAATTAAACAAGACATTCATTCCTGAAGGGAGGTCTAGGAGGTGCATCACAGCGTACACTGTACTCATTAACCCACTCATTCATCTGGCTATTGCAGTTGGTCATGTTTACACACTCACATTTCATACTCATTCAGAATTTTTACTCAGCAGCAGCGTCAATTACTCTCTCTTGATGCCATTGTCAATATACTTTCCTGATTTTCCTTCTACCTTTTTGACCGTTTCTCCTCAGTCTCTTTTGAAGGGCTGTCTTTCCCTTTTTAACCATAAATAAGGGAATTCCTTAAATCTTTATCACTGATTCTCCTATTTTCTCACACTGCCTTGTCTCTCCATGGATTTCATCTCTGCACAGCTTGAATTACCACCTCTACCCATTGTACTACCAAGCACACAAATAATCTAAGTGCCTGGTGCATGGTATTAATTTTACAAAACTAACTCATTTACTCCTAACAACTAGTGAAAATTATTATATACAGGTGAAGAAACACACAGAGAGGGTAAATAAATTTCCAGAGATCATATAGCTTGTGAATAGTGGAGCCAGGCTCCAAATCCAAGTTATCTGGCTAAAGATTCCATGCACTTTACTGCTGTATTACCCTTCCCATTTGACTCATAGATGTATGCCCCCAATTCTGATTTCTCTGAGATCTGTACCTGGATGTTCAAGTGAATTGTTGAGATATCGTTTGAATGTTTTAAAAGCCCTTCAAATGAAACATGTTTAAAACCAAACATGACTTTCTCCTTTTCTTTCCACTACCCATTTTCCATTATCAGTGTTTTCTATCTCTAGGAAGAAAAACATTCTACTCTATTAAAGATGCTGAAATCCAGGTGTCACCTTTAGCGTGTTACTCTTTTTCTTTTGAAATATATAATCCATCACTAAGCGTTGCAGGTTTTATCTTCCAAATATCTTACACATCTGCCCTTTATTTCTATCTATCCCTACTCTCTGGACTAAGCTTGACTAGTGAAGCTTTAACTGCTATCCTCATATTCACTCTTTTTCTCCTCTAATCACTGCAGCCAGAGATGCTTTTTGAAAACAAAGCTGATGGTGTCATCCTACTGCATAAAAAACATCAGTTCTCCCCTTGCCCTTATGATAAAGACTAAAATCTTTGATTTGTATCAAAATGTTGAACTATTAATAGTAGTAATATTCTTTGAGGGTTGGGGGTGGGTAAACTCACAACTAATAGATGCAGTGAGCATTGTGTTGGGGGGAATGGGCATGCCTCAAATCATGGTTTGGGTGTGGCAAAGTCATAACATGTAATCAAAATGTTTGTACACTCATAAAATCCTGAAATAAAAATAAAATAAAATAATTTAAAAAATTTTTCTCTTGCATATACTTCACATTTTTTAGGTATGATAATTAATTGCCCTATGAAAACCAACCTATAGCAATAGCTAGATATAGCCACGCTTCTGGTATAGACAGGATAAGGTCAAGGCAGCAGAAACCCAAGCTAAGGTGAACCATGGATGAAAATAGATGCAGAATTATCTGCCAATGTTGGTAATTCTCCATCCCTTCCACAAAACTGCCAGGGCTGGTGCATCACAAATAGGTAACTTGTCTTTTATCACTGTGGTCTTGCACTATAAATATAAAATATTTACCAGGAAAATTGCCTTGTGGAGTGGAAGCCAGTCGGTATGATCAGCAGTGGTTCTTTGGATTCCTTGGGACACATACCTTTTTTTCTAAATTCATTAGGAAAGGCAGACTGGAGCTTAAATATCTTCCTTTCATGAATACATACTAAGGCAGAGTAGGGGATACCCTCAAGGGAAATTGTGAGCTGACAGGTCAAAATAGGTAGAAACAATCGAGTACAGTTACTATAAAAAGAGTCAAAAAGCTGAATGGTATATACCATGTGAAACAGAATAATTGAGTTTGATAAAGTAAAAAGTTTAAAATAAATATTATAATTATCTGTAAGGACCATCTTAGTCTGCCTGCCAAAGGGAGCAAGCATTAAAAAAATCAGATTGGCATCAGATATTTGAACAAAACATTTGATGTAAAAATACAATGAAATTTTGAGGTGTTAAGAGATAATTGGAAAAGGTAAAATTATGACTCATGCTAAACTAAAGGAAATGTGCTAATAATTTAACTCATTAATTAATGATGGAACCATAAAGACATGATAACAAGCTCAAAAGAGAATACCAAGAACAGACTCTAGACAATGAGAAATCCTGAAACAGATTTTATAATAGATGTTAAATGATCAGTATCAAGAGGGCAAGAAAACAAAATGTAATCTTTGGAGTCATTTCTTCCACGGGTCGTTGGAGAGGGATGTGTAAGCAATTGCATCTCTACCATAAAAAATTCATCTGTATCTCTATGAATGGAAATCATTTGCATCATCATCATAAGCCCTCCACAAGTTAATTTTTTTTCTTTCTTTATTTCAGAATATTATGGGGATACAAATGCTTTGGTTACATAAATTGCCTTTGCATGACCAGAGTCAGAGCTAGAAGCATGCCCATCCCCCAGACAGCATACATCGCACCCATTTAGGTGTGAATGTACCCCTCCCCTTCTTCCGCCTCCCACCTACCTGACACCTAGTGAATGTTACTTCCATATGTGCACATAAGTTTTGATCAATTAGTATCAATTTTTTTATTTGTTTATTTTTTTCAGCATATTATTAGGGTACAAATGTTAAGGTTACATATATTGCCCTTGCCCTTCCTCTCCCCTCAAGTCAGAGCTTCGAGCATATCCATCCCCCAGTTGGTGCGGATCACACTCATTATGTATGTATATACCCATCCCCTCCCCTCCCCCTGCCCGACACCCAATAGATGTTATTCCTATATGTCCACTTAGGTGTTGATCAGTTAATACCAATTTGCTGGTGAGTACATGTGGTGCTTATTTTTCCATTCTTGGGAAACTTCACTTAGTAGAATGGGTTCCATCTCCATCCAGGAAAATACAAGAGGTGCTATATCACCATTGTTTCTTATAGTTGAATAATATTCCATGGTATACATATACCACATTTTAATAATCCACTCATGGATTAATGGGCACTTCAGTTGTTTCCACATCTTTGTAATTGTGAATTTTGCTGCTATTAACATTCGAGTGCAGGTGTCTTATTCATAGAGTGACTTTTGTTCTTTTGGGTAGATACCTAGTAATGGGATTGCTGGATCAAATGGTAGATTCACTTGTATCGCTTTAAGGTATCTCCATATTGCTTTCCACAGAGGCTGAACTAGTTTGCAGTCCCACCAGCAATGTATGAGTGTTCCTATCTCTCCACATCCACACCAACATTTATAGTTTTGGGACTTTTTGATAAAGGCCATTCTCACTGGAGATAAGTGATATCTCATTGTGGTTTTGATTTGCATTTCCCTAATGATTAGAGATGTTGAGCATTTTTTCATATGTTTGTTGGTCATTATTCTGCCTTCTTTTAAAAGTTTCTGTTCATGTCCTTTGCCCACTTTTTGATAAGGTTGTTTGATTTTTCCTTACTGATTTTCTTGAGTTCTTAATAGATTCTATTTATCATCCCTTTATCAGATGTGTAGCTTGCAAAAATTTTCTCCCATTCTGTGGGTTGTCTGTTTGCTCTCTTGACGGTTTCTTTGGCTGTGCAGAAGCTTCAAAGGCAATCACAGCATCAACAAAAATAAATAAATTAGTACCAATTTAATGATAAGTACATGTAGTGTTTGTTTTTCCATTCTTTTAATACTTCACTTAGAAGAATGGGCTCTAGCTCCATCCAGGATAATATGAGAAGTATTAGTTCACCATTTTTTATGACTGAGTAGTACTCCATGGTATACATATATCATATTTTATAATCCACTCATGTATTTATGGGCACTTGTGTTGCTTCCACATCTTTGCAATTGTAAGTTGTGCTGCTATAAACATTTGAGTGCAGATGTCTTTTTTACAGAATGTCATTTTTTTTCGTTTGGGTAAATACCCAGTAGTGGGCTTGTTGGATCAAATGGGAATTATACTTTTAGTTCTTTGCATTATCTCCATATTACTTTCCATAGAGGTTGTACTAGTTTACAGTACCACCAACAGTGTATGAGTGTTCCCATCTCTCTGCATTCACACCAACATTTGTTGTTTTGGGACTTTTTGATGAAGGCCATTCTCACTGAAGTTAAGTAATATTTCATTGTGGTTTTGATTTGCATTTCCCTGATGATTAGAGATGTTGAGCATTTTTCATATGTTTGTTTTCTATCTTGAAAAGTTTTTGTTCATGTCCTTTGCCCACTTTTTCAGTGTTGTTTGATTTTTTTCTTGCTGATTTTCCTGAATTCTATGTATATTCTACTTATCAGCCCTTTATCAGCTACACAGCATGTAAATATTTCTTCCATTCTGTAGGTTGTCTATTCACTCTAGTGATAGTTTTCTTGGCTGTATAGAAGCTTTTTATTTTTTTCCCATTTATCTCTTCATTTATTTATTAGTTCTTTGATTTTTATTTATTTATTTTTTTCCCAAATTCTGTGAGTGCAAATATTGTTAGGGTTACATATCTTGCCCCTGCCCCCCTCCCCATCCC